GCTAGAGTTGACTCCCAGAGATGCAACTTTAGACGTTGTTGTCGAGCCTTAAGAGCCGCCTTGGTGAAGGCTTTGCAGTGCGGGCAAGACTTAGCGATGTGCGATTCTCCTAAACAGTACAGACATTTATCGTGTCCGTCCTGGTGGGGGATCTTTCTATCGCACACCACGCATCTGCTGAAGGGTCCTGAGGGGGACATAAAGCTAAAGGGGAAAAACTACAAGTAGCGTGTAGGCGAAAAAAGGCGGGGAAAATTCAAAGCGGCTCTAGCCCGAGTCCAAAGTTACCGAAGTGAAAAGGAGTAGGCGAGGGTAGTCCGTGAGGCAATCCGAGTCAAAGTGACAAGAAATCAGTCCAAAATTAGCCAGAATAATAGAAAATAGAAGCAGCGCAAAGCGAGAGGTTCCGAACCGCCAGGCGGAAAAATGGAACTGAGGGACAGTTGGGCGAAGCATGCGCGATACGGGTAGTCCTAAACATTGTAACTTTTCTCTTGCAGCTCGAGAAGATTCCGAGAGGACCAATGCTAGCGCTGGGATTAACCCTTTATGTGTGCATTCACAGAAGACCACGATGAAGAACCATGGTTACAGGTAAGTAACCTGTCTTTCTTCATTGTTTGAAAAACTGGTGTGTGATATCCAGTGATATCCAATCAACACATTCCTCAGCTGTAAGTTTAAAATCACACCTCCAATGCAGTCTGCATCTTTCCTGATGCAGTAAAGAGGTAGGTAAAAGAGAACAAAAGCACCAATATAAACTTATCAGCTGCAACATTAAAATCACTGACAGCTGAAGTGAATAGCATTGATTATATAATTACAGTGGCACTTGTCAAGGAATGGGATTGATCCTGTGATCAGGGAGAAAGAATCAGTGCTTGAGACACAGGAGTAGACTGTCATTGTATTCCCTCAGGGACAAGGAAGAGGAAGAAAGGTGATCCGGCCAGACGAAAGAGTCAACACACTACCTAAGGAAGGTGATTGGGCGAGGCACCCATGTTGCGGCACAATCTGTGTGGTCTGTAGTGCCCCTCTCCGGAAACCTACCAACCAGAAACAGTTTGGCCGAGCACCCCAGTGAATTCTCTGGACTTTGGGAGGGAATTTGTATCTCCAAGTTATGGCTTGTTACCAGAATTGACATGTTTCAGCCCGTTAAGTAATATAATTGAGAGTTGTGAAAAGAATAAAGAACACATCATGAGTACTGTTAAAACGTCTCCGGTTGTATTTCCTGCCAAAAATGTGGAGTTGCCTAAAGAATTAGAAGAACCCAATGACAAGTACCTACCAAAAGTGATGTAGGGAAGGACAACCAGTGAACTGGTGTCAGGGTTGTGGGCATCCAAAACTAATTGATTCATGTGGGGAAAGGCTAGCCCAACTGATCACATGGAAGAGCTACTCCAGCTCACATTGCTGAAAAACAATGCTGCCTATGATAGAAAGGTATCAGAACACACAGTGCATTACTGTTTGCTGCATTTGGGGCTGTGTAGCTGCAGACCAGTCAGTGTCCAAGATGTTATTCCCTGTCCAGCACCAAAAGTCCCTACAGTGGGGATGTGAGGATCCGAACTGGACCATGGAGCAATGGAAGAAGGTAACCTGGTCTGATGAGTCACATTTTCTTTGACATCAGGTGGATGTATGGGTGTGTTCGCCCAGCCATCCACCTGATGGGGAAAAGATGGCAGCAGAATGCACTATGGGAAGGCCAGCTAGTGGAGGCAGTTTTATGATTTGGGCAATGTTCTGCTGGAAAACCGTGGGTCCTGGCATTCATGTGGATGTTATTTAGACACATGCCATCTACCTAGAGACTGTTGCAGACCATGTACACCCCTTCACGCCAACAGTGTTCCTGATGTCAGTGGTCTTTCATCAGGAGAGTGCACCCTGCCACACTGACAAAACCATTCAGGAATGATTTGCTAAATATGACAAAGAGTCAAAGGTGTTACAAAGCAGTATCTTTTTGAAACAGAGTACAGTATGTACTAGTATCCAATATTGCTTCGCTACTCTACAAGTCCACCACGTATGGTAAAAGCTTCCCCTTGTGCTTTACACTTCCAACAAACATTTGATACCTCTGTATAAATCTTTGACATTTTTTTCGGAGTCATATGCCACCTATAAAACATATATGTTCTCCTTGAAATTTACCGATTTTGTGAGCTTTATGTTATTTTTCCATATTTGCAACCATTGACCAATATCAATATTATGTTCTATATTTGTGCCCACCTAATAATACATTCTTTTACCATCTCATCTTGCCTGCACCTCTGTCCACTCTTACATCATGTGACTTCATGCTCTATGCTGATCCCTCCCCTTTTGCCTTTTTTAATGGACTAAAAAGTCCAAAATGTGTATCTTTTGATGGTATAAGAAGTGTTTCAGTCTTCTGATCATCTAGCTGGCTTTCTTCCATATTTTTCAATTCTACAGTATACTTTTTATTAATGTACTTTATTTAATCCTGTTTTTTTTTCCAAAGAAGGGGCTCAAGACAGTGAAGAACAGTTAAAATCTACATAAGCTTAGTATCACAGTAAATTAAAATATTCATATTAA